CTATGATGTAATAATTGTATTATACAGTAATAATTGTACTAGGTAATGCTATAAATAATTTACATTTGACTTGCTCTACCTTCTGTTTCTTCCATTCTGCCTCTACCCAAGCTCCTCTTTTTTCTGTTTTCATATGATCCAAAGCCTTCTTCATGGCTGTCAGAAATGTTGAACTGCCTCTGAGATTTGTTCAGATGCATAAATAGTATTTCTGGCAAATAGCAATCACCTCCCTTTAACAGTAAAAATAAAACCCTGAAAATAAAATAATTTTTAAAGAAGCGGTCCTTTTAGACTCCTGTGTTATCCATATATTTGAAGAATGCCACAGAGAAAAGAAAATTATAATGGTTGCTTAATATGGCTGTCACGGCCAGAATAATACCGGCCTACTATTAGAAATAAAATAATATTCTATTTATTTGAGAATAAATGATCAAATTAGGGGATTTAGTGATCATGACTATGTTAATGAGTTTCAATTACGGTTAATGGAGGGAAACAGACAATATGCAATTTTGAAGAAAAAAGGAAATTGATTGAATATTGGATTCAGATTTCATGGCGACTAATTGAGGACCATCACTGTTTTGGTAGGAAGGTAAAAGAGTATTAGGTTAAATTATTATGATTAAGATACAATGAAGGGGTTCAATGTGAGACATTTTAAATTAGCAGAACTAATGAATAGATTATTTTTCTATGACTAATTGCACTATGAAACAAAATCTGAAAAAAGAAATCTGTTCCTAGTTTGAAATTGTGCAATACTGACTTTGACAGTGGTTGTTATACTCCAGAAACTTCATTTTTGTGGATACCACAAACTATGTTGAATTTGTTGAGACTCTATGACAGTGGTTCTCAACCTTCCTAAGGCCTTGACCCCTTAATACAGTTCCTCATGTCATGGTGACCCCCAGCATAACATTGCTTTCGTTGCTATTTTTTTTTTTTTTGTCGTGTCAGTAGCAACTTGAGAAACTGCAAGTTGCTTCTGGTGTGAAAGAATTGGCCGTCTGCAAGGACGTTGCCCAGGGGACGCCCGGATGATTTGATGTTTTTATCATCCTTGTGGGAGACTTTTCTCATGTCCCCGCATGAGGAGCTGGAGCTGATAGAGGGAGCTCATCCACCTCTCCCCGGATTCGAACCTGCGACCTTCAGCCCTGCCGGCACAGGGGTTTAACCCACTGCGCCACCGGGGGCTATAATACACTTTAATAATAAACTTTATTTACACTTTAATAATAAACTTTATTTCTACCCCACCACCACCATCTCCCCAATGGGGCAGCTTACATGAGGCGAAGCCCAACAACACAATACAATAAATAAAATCAAAACACAAACAATAACATAATAAATTACATAAGACAACATATATATACATATACTACAAAACTATAATTTTGTTGCTGTTATGAATCATAATGTAAATATCTGATATGCTGGATGCATTTTCATTCACTGGACCAAATTTGGCACAAATACCCAATACGCCCAAATTTGAATACTGGTGGGGTTGGGTAGGTTGATATTGCCCTTTGGGAATTGTAGTTGCTGGGATTTATAGTTCACTTACAATCAAAGAGCATTCTGAACTCCACCAACGATGGAATTGAACCAATCTTGACACACAGAACTCCCATGACCAACAACAAATACTGGAAGGATTTGGTGGGCATTGACCTTGAGTTTTGGAGTTGTAGTTCACCTACATTGAGAGAGCATTGTGCACTCAATCAATGATGGAACTGGACCAAACTTGGCACGAATATCCAAATTTGAACAGTGGTGGAATTTGGGGAAAATAGACCTTGATCTTTGGGAGTTGTAGTTACTGGGATTTATAGTTCACCTACAATCAAAGAGCATTCTGAGCCCCACCAGTGATTGAACTGGGCCAAACTTGGCACACAGAATCCCCATGACCAACAGAAAATACTGTTTTCTGGTGGTCTTTGGCAACCCCTCTGACAACCCCTCATGACCCTCCCAGGGGTCCTGACCCCCAGGTTGAGAAGCACTGCTCTATGAGATAGTCATTAAAAAACAATAGTAAAGTGTGATGCAGAATGTCCCACAAAAATGATGTTTTTGCAGTTGTCCATGTTTTTATGATAGAACCAATTAAGAAATTACATTCATAACCCGGGAACAAAAATTGTGTTACATAGTGTTATCGGATATTGATATATTTTGTATTTCCATCCATCCTATATGTGTATCAAATTTTGCTAACAAATTGTATGCTAATTTTTGATCAGTGTAGATCTGATTGAGAGTATTAATGGGGAGAATTCCTATTGAATCTTGAAGTATTTATTATACGCTAACATCCCTCAAGAATTTTAAGTATTCTTCATATTTCTCCAAAATATTGATAGTCAAGGCACTGTTTTCTGTGCTAAACGGATACACGTATTTTCCTCAGATCCCTTAGAACAAACATAATATTTTGAAAATTATCTTCCACCAGTAGAAAAAATGATTTACAGCGCATGAATATTTGCTGAAGTTCTGATTCAAACCACTTTTGCATTAAACATGAAGTGTGTGCATTACCGTCTTGGTGCATAAGATGTTTATGCATGCCCCATGGTATTTTGCTACTGTTTTGTCTAGTATGCATTCTGTTTGCAAGACAAGCCCCGGGCGAGAATTTCTTCCTCTTGACAATTTGTAGACTAGATGTGGGAATTAAATACGCCATGCCTGGGCAGCAGTGTGTTTGTTTTGTATGATAGCAGGAGTGAGAACTGTGTAGCGGAGGGACTCAATATATGATATATGGGAATATTTATGATATCCTCTCTGGGTTCCTTCACTTTTTTATTCTGAAACTTTGCATTGTTCAAATTGTGGAGGCAGCTTTTTGAGACTCTTAGTAAGTCAATCCAATGTTTTTAAGTTTTGGAAGGAGATGCTTATTTTGATGGAGGGCATTTTCTTCCATGACCTGTATAAAACCAGAAAAGAATTCTCATAGTAATGCAGGAGCAACTTCAATGATGGTGTTTACTCCGTCTGAATTAAAAACTATAATGTAATCTGATTTGATAACCAAATGAACAGTAGATACAAAAAAAAATAGATAGCTTTGCTTTTATATGCAAAGCTTATTGGTGTTTTGGTGTTTCTAGGTGCATCTATACTGTAGATTTAATGCAGTTAGACACTACCTCAACTGCCATGGCTGAAAGCTGTGAATTTATGGGAGCTTTAGTTTTACAACGTCTATAGCAGGGGTCCTCGAACTTTTTAAACAGAGGGCCAGGTCACAGTCCGTCAAACTGTTGGAGGGCTAGATTATAATTTGAAAAAAAAAATGAATGAATTCCTGTGAACACTGCACATATCTTATTTGTAGTGCAAAAACACTTAAAAACAGTAGAATAATTAAAATGAAGAACAATTTTAACAAATATAAACTTATTAGTATTTCAATGGGAAGTGTGGGCCTGCTTTTGACTGATGAGATGAGATTGTGTTTTTGTTGTTGTTGTGTGCTTTCAAGTTGTTTCAGACTTAGGTTGACCCTGAGCGAGGGCCAGGTAAATGACCCTGGAGGGCTGTATCCGGCCCTGGGCCTTAGTTTGAGGACCTCTGCTATAAAACATTGGACATAGACAAACATTAAACAAAGAACATTAGACATTGCACCAGTTCTGAAGTTATCATGACTACTTGAACATAAAACATTTCTAAATTTGAATCCCCTATAAAGTGATCCATATTCCGGAGGTAGCTGTGTGGGGTGCACTATTCTTGTGATTGCCGATGTTCTGGTTTTCTGCAGATGGAGGGTAGTACATCCAGTTTTCTAGTGGGAGGCGGTCTTGGTCGGGGTTGGCTTGACTGCGCCTTCCTCTTGGCATGTTCTCTTTTCTCTTTCCTTCCCTCCATCTGTGCCTCTTCAAATTCTACAGCACTGCTGGTCACAGCTGACCTCCAGCTGGAGCGCTCAAGGGCCAGGGCTTCCCAGTTCTCAGTGTCTATGCCAGAGTTTTTAAGGTTAGGTTTAAGCCCATCTTTAAATCTTTTTTCCTGTCCACCAGCATTATGTTTTCTGTTCTTGAGTTGAGAGTATAGTAACTGATTTGAGAGACGGTGATTCGGCATTTGTACAACGTGGCCAGTCCAGTGTTGATGGGAGACAGGCATCACTTCAATGCTGGTGATCTTTGCTTCTTCCAGCATACTGTCATTTGTCTGCCTGTCTTCCCAAGAGATTTGCAAGAGTTTTTGGAGGCAACGCTGATGGAATCATTCCAGGCGTTCAGTGTGGCATTTGTAGACAGTCCATGTTTTGCAGGCGTATAGCAGGGTGGGGAGGACAATAGCTTTATAAACAAACACTGTTGTATCCTTATGGATGTCGCGGTCCTCAAACACTCTCTGCTTCTCATTAAACTACAACTCTCAAGATTACATAGCATTGAATGATGACAATTTAAGTGGTGTCAAATTGCATTAAATTGCAATTCAAGTGGCATGAGTTAGCTTCCCATTTCCTGAGACAGAAGTGCGAATGTGTATACATGTGTGTGTTGCAAACTTCTGCTTTAGTTTTGTAAATGAAAGTGGAATGTCTTATTCAAATACTTTTGTATGATACTGTTATCGATTCAGGGTTAACTTTCTAATAAGTTCACTATTGAAGTTTGATTACCAGCAATAGATGTTTCCATTGTGAGATGATTTGTTACCTTCAGTTTTCACCAGTCCTTTTCCTACCCCCTTTCATTATGAATGGAGATTTTTTTATTGCTTGCCTTATATTGATGTCTCCTTTGGTATTTCCCATTCGTTTTCGATAGTTACCTTTTTTGCCCGCATGCCAACCTTCAGTTTTAATGGCCTTTTTTGTGTGCTCATTTTGTTTCGTTTCCCATCGTGGTTTTGTTTATTTCTGTTTTGGTTTTCTTTCTGTTTTTTCTCTTTAAAATCGCCGTGGTGTTTGCCCTTCATGTCCCCCAATGTTTGCACATGACAAGATGTTGCCATCCCAACATTACCTCCCACATCACTGACCAGTGCCACTACTGACCATCTAGCACCAGCGACAACGGGACCCCTGCCTTCTGCCCCTCGGGACGTGGTGGCTTCCCTTGTCTCTACCCGCTTCATCAAGCTGACCTGGAGGGCTCCCGCGTCCGACCCACATGGAGATAATCTCACCTACTCCGTGTTCTACACCAAGGAAGCAATAAACAGGTTCATAATCTATCCATATATACAAAAGTCATAGTATGAATGTTGGTTGGTTTGTTCCATAAAGACTCCTATATGGCTTGAAGGATCTGGACCAGACTTGGCACAAAGACTCTTCATGACACAACTTAAGTTTAAGTTTAATTCCAACTTAAAATTTAAGTTTAAGATTAATTCCAACTTAAAATATTGGAATTAAAAACTACCTCTTTCAAGCATGGAAACAAAGGGAAAGAAAGGGAACAAAACAGATTGGCTATAGATAGGTGAAGTGGCCCTCTTGTCATGTGACTGGGAAAGAAAGGAAGTGAAGTAGATTGGCTGGGAAGGAAGGAGGGAAGGAAGGAAAGGCAGGAAGGAAGGAAGAGAAAGAAAATGAGAAAAGGGAGGGTAGGTAGGAAGGGAAAGGAAAGGGGGAAAGAATGTGAGAAAGGAAGGGAGAAGGAAGGGGGAAGAAGGAGAGGGAGAGAAGGAAGGAAGCGAAAGGAAAGGAAAGAAAGAAGAAGGGGCAGGCTATGTGGGAAAGCAAAGGAAGAATGAAAGAAGGGGGAGAAGGTATAAGAATGAAAAAAGGGGAGAAGGTATATGAAGGAAGTAGAGGAAGGAATGAAAGGGCCTGCTGTTACCAGAGCATTCCCATGGAGACATGGTTAGGTAGACTTTCTTAGAACTGGAGAAGGGAGAAAGCAGGCAAGCAGTGGCCCCATTGAGTGGCATCCTTATAAGCTTTATTGTTGTAGGAAAATTTTAGGTATGGGGTTTCAAATGTGTGCGAAAGATAAGGTTGTTACAGCTAATTATTCACAATGAACTGTGTGGGGAAAGAAGGAAATAAGAGAACCTCTTGGCTAAGAATCCTTGTAAGAATGTTTTTGATGCTGTATAATACCTTTTTTTTGTGGATAGAAACATCTAAAGACAGTTTAACCATAATAATATCTAATCTTCAGCGGAAGAGGAGTGAGAAGCAGAACTAAGATGCGTGCTGTCATTATTCTAATATGCTGTTGTCATTGAACACTAATACATTTATTGTTTATATGCAAATTAAAAATAGGGTTCTTCGTCATGGTCTCTGTGAAATACGCACCTGTGGTAGTGTCTGGCATCTGTGCAGTTGAGCCAAAACCCTTCTAGAAAGCTCTTGCAGCCCCGCCCACTCTCCCCAAAAGATATGGCCAGAGAGGAAGAGTTGTAGCCTCAGTTCCTTTTGTCCGGTTGTAGCCTCAGTTCCTTTTGTCTGTGAAAGCAGCAGCTTTGGAATCTTGCTATACTATTGCTATTGAACTAATGGATTGCCTAATGACTACTCTCTTGTCACCTCAACACATCGGTTCACTGGTAATGACTCGGAATATCTCACAACTCTTCACCTATGCACCAGGATTGTGGTGCAGCTGGCTGGGAGTCAGCTGCATTAAGATCACTATTGACTGAAAGGTCATGAGTTCGAAGCCAGCCCGGGTCGGAGTGAGCTTCTGACCAATTTGTGTAGCTTGCTGTCGACCTTTGCAGCCCGAAAGACAGTTGCATCTGTCATGTAGGAAGTTTAGGTACCACGTTTGCGGAGAGGCTAATTTAACTAATTTACAATGCCATAAAAATCTCAAGCATTCTTTGCAAGTGGTGAAGCGTCCATTTGTGACACTGGTGGCTAGAATACCTTCATGAAAAAGCTGGAAAGTTAGCTGGAAAGTTAGGTACCCTCTGTGTGTCTGTCTATATATGTTGTGTATCTATTATGCTTGGGTAACCACGGAAAAATTTGGTTCTAAATTCGTTTTGTTTTTAAGGGGCCCTTGTGTTTTTGTTTTTTTTAATAATTCCGAAATTTTCCTTTTAAAAATTTCGAAATATACGAAATTTCGTAAAATTACGAATCGATTCGTTAATGGCGGACGCGATTGCGCAATATGCTAAAAAAACCTCCAAATGGGACAGGGGGAACTTCTGAAGCTTCCCTCTCCCTCTGTTGTTGACTGTTGGTGTGATAAAACAAACAACAACTATAAAACTTGCACCAGACATGCGAAAATAATTACGAAATAATTTCGAAATAATTACGAAATAAATTGAAAAAATTGTTTCGAATCTAATTTACTCCTCACACTATTCCTGCATGGCTCAATATTGGATCGTAAGCTAATTTAAATACGAATTAATAACGAATTACGAAATTAACGAACGAAACCGCCCAAGCCTAGTATCTATGGCATTGAATGTTTGCCATGTATATGTACATTGTAATCCACCCCTGAGTCCCCTGCGGGGTGAGAAGGGCGGAATAGAAATACTGCAATTAATTAAATGAATAAATATGACTGAATATACCTGCTACAGTCATGCCAGCATGCCCACTACTACTCGGCAAGGTGGGTAGAGCTGCAGCCCTATAACTTCAAGAGTTTTCTAGAAGGGTTCCAGCTCAGCTGCGCAGACTCAGGAAACTACTTTGAGTACGAATTTCACAGATGACCACTCAAAGAAACATTGTTACAGGTAAGCAGCCATTCATTCTCTTATGTTTACATTTTTATCACCTGTTTTTTTTAAATAGAGAGCGCATTGAAAACACAAGTCATCCTGGGGAAATGCAAGTGACAATTCAAAACCTAATGCCGGAGACAGTGTATGTTTTTAGAGTGATAGCTCAGAACAGACACGGAGCTGGAGAAAGTTCAGTGCCATTGAAAGTGGCAACACAGCCTGAGGGTAAGCGTTGCAGATTCCTAACCTATTTGCTAATAATAAAAAACATGGTTTTCACAGAATACATTGCTGGTTGTATTCTCACTCTTTTTACCATTTATGCATGGTTCCGATCATATTTGTACTACTTATGTCTGCTGCTGTCTTTGCAATGGTGATGATATTATATGATTTGAAGATGATGCAGCCAAAATGTCTTATTGAATCAAGTAGTCTAACTGACATTATTTAGTCATCCCATGAAATTGATTAAATGGAGTTTATTTTGGAGTGAACCATGCCCTAAGTGTGTTAAAAACATAATTTGTTGTGCTAATCTCTCATTGATACAAAAAAGGAAAACACAACAATTTAAACATATCTTTGGATGACAGTGGCAGTGCTAAAATGCTTACATAATCTCATTGCATCTTGAGATTAAACATGACACACATTTGTATCTGGGAATGTGTAATTTGCTTTAAGACAGAAAAGGAAATGATCAGACACAGAACATAGACAAACATTTATTTGAAAGATTGGTAATTTAAATTATTTAAGATGACCACAAAATTAGAGGCATCTACTTGGCTATAAAAGTTGTTTACATTGTTATAAAAGTTGTACAAATTGATAAACATTAGCACATTCTTAGTCATGAAAGTCTGTTCATTTGTTGTCTTCTTTCCACCTCCTCTTCCCACACTTTCTTCTCCTTGGAATGGCCCTTGACTATATGTCAAAATCCATAATCTTGTCTCCAAAACCTGTCCTCAGCTTATACATGTGGTCAGCTAATACACTTGTATATATGGTTTATCTACAGTTAAGCATATTCAATTCTGTTTATAATTTCAGGAAAAAGTGGCTAAAGAGCCTTTTCTTTCAGAGATTTAAAAATGCATATAAGCAATATAACATATTGTTAATTTGTTGTTGATTTTGTAATATATCTTTCTTTTATTCACTTCAGTTCAGCTTCCTGGCCCAGCTCCCAACATTCGGGCATACCCGAATTCCCCCACATCCGTCACTGTCAGTTGGGAAACACCTTTATCAGGAAACGGTGAAATACAGAACTACAAGCTGTACTACATGGAGAAGGGGACAGACAGTGAACAGGTGTGGTCCACAAATTCCTAAGGTTATATAGGAGCAAGTGCATTGAGATTTTCATAAACCATGATGTATGGCATTGCTCTTCTTACCGAGTTTGTGTTCATTTTGTTGTATATAGCATCATAAGGCTATCATCAGCCTTTTTGATTGAAAAGGGAAAGCTGTAGCTCAGTTAAAGCATGTAGTGCTTTATACCAGCTATAGGTGTCAACCAGAATTGAACTAAAGAGAACTCCAGCTCCCAGAAGCCCAAGCCAGCTTGTACAATGATCAGGAATTCTGGGAGCTGAAGTCCAAAACACCTGGAAGGCCACAGGATGTGGTGGCCTGGCTTAAAGCAATAGTTTCGAATTTTGGGTTTTTTTTTTGCAATTGTTATTGTCGCATTTTATTGAAGGAAAATGTACAAAATCTCCCTAGATTCTTTTGTTTTTTTGGGGATACGCTGTTCAATATTCCTCCTCCTCCTTTTCCTCATCCTGATTTATCTGGAAGTAGCGCAATTCGTAGCTCTCCTTGTTGTTGGCCACCATGCGCAGCCAGTCGCGCAGGTTGTTCTTCTTGATCAGGTACTTGGTCAGGTACTTTTGGAGAAGGGTACCTTGCACATGACAGTGATCTTGTTCTTGCTCCTCTTGATGGTCACTGCGCCCCCGCCCAGGTTCCCGGCTTTCCCATTGACTTTGATGTGCTCCTGAAGGAACTGGTCAAAGTTGGCGGCTTCCATGATGCCGTCCTCGATGGGGTTCATGCAGTCCAGGATGAACTTCAAGACTTGCTTCTTCTTTTTGCCACCTTTTGTCGCCAGCTTCTTTGCGGGCGCCATGGCGGCCGAAGCAGGGAAGAGAGAAAGGAAGGGCGGCAGTGCGCAGGTGCGGGATATAAAGCAATAGTTTCCATCTGTGTGTTCCCAGATCTTGTTGAATTGCAATTCATAACATTATTGACTTTAAGTTGCAAATGCTTCTGGGAATTGAATTCTAATAGCAGCTAAGGACCAAAGATTGGTTACCAATCACTTAGATATTGGTCCTACTGTCTCCATTGTGTGTGAGAGAAGGAGAGTCTACAAAACAAGTGGTTGCTATAACTGTGCTTCTCCAAGCGGTCATCTGTGTTGATGCAATCCACCCTCCTTCCCATCTTGTATTTCTGGTAGACTTAGAACAAGTCCCTCTGATGTTCTCTAACGGGCACCTTTAAAGAGATGGGAAGAGTTAGCACTAAAAATCTTCTCAATGCACGTCTTTGTGCAAATGCAACATTGATGACCACATGGAAAGCCAACGTTGCAAGTAAGCAACCTACTTTTTGATATCCCGCTGTGCTAATTAAGTAGAGATAGAGTCAGGCTCAGTTTTCAAAGTTGATACAGAATGGGGAAAAAACTGGTTTAGTCACATTCGTTTTAGATTTTAGAACATATTTGGGTCATTATTTCTGAGTGCATGAGTTCTGGAATGTATTCCAGCTAGGATGCCTGCTGTTTGTTTACAGAAATCAACTGAAGCAGTGTTTTATACGGCTACACAATTTACTTCTGTTTGAAATGCAGGACATTGACATTGGAGGTCTTTCCTATACCATCACTGGCCTAAAAAAGTACACAGAATATAGTTTCCGAGTTGTGGCATACAATAAACATGGCCCAGGTGTTTCTACGCAAGATGTGGTTATCCGAACACTGTCAGATGGTAAGTGCATTCTAGCTAAAAAATTGTACAATTTCCCCATTCGGTTTGTTTTTAAAGAGAGCTCATATTTATATCTATATTTATATCTATGTCTTAGAGCAGTATAACTTTCTTTTGCAGACTAATAGCTTTTATATCTTCGACTTCCTTCGCTGCTTCTCTGCTACTTCTTAGTTCTCCTTAAAGTTGAGAAAAATATGATCTAATGCAACTAGTTGAACATTCTGTTTCTCTGAAAGGTGTGAATCTGTGGGCACAGGCAACTTATCACATTCGCTATATTTAGACCATTCAACTTGATTGATTGCGGTGCAACAGCCCAGACTATGTATGTGATCTTAAAGCAGATAAACAGCACCTATCCCAAGTTTGTTCTGCATCCCAGAAGGATGCTGTTAATCACTAAAATGTGTGTCTAGTTTAACAAATAGGACTTTGCAAAAGATAAAGCTGAGCTTCAGCCAAGGTAGCAGATTAGAACAATCTGACAATAGAATTGCAATTTGGTATCATTTATTTATTATTATTTATTTCATGCATTTCTACCCCGCCCTTCTCTCCCCCCCCCCCCCCCCCCCCCCCCCCCCCCCCCCCCCGAAGGGGGACTCGGGGCGGCCTCACACAAGCATCATGATGCTATCAGTATATAAACAATCAAAAATTGCATTTAAAACATTAAAAATAATTAAAAACACATTATACAATTCATTAAACAATAAATTAAACATGGTAGTTAGAGGCTGGATAAAATTGTCCCATTAATGGAATATGTTACTTGACCTATGTCTTTTGTGGGAAAGATTTTCTCTTAATATGAGTAGTTGCCTAATGCTGTCATCAAGTATATATTTATTAGAATTATTTATTATTATTATTTCCAACATTTCTATCCCATCGTTCTCAACCCCAGAAGGCAGATTCAGGGTGGCTTACAATGGCCGCAATTTTGCTCCCCGTTCCAGAGACTGGGAGCAAAAACACATTACAAATAACATTGTTCAAAAGATAAAACATTAAAATAAAATACATTTAAACCATTATTATTCATTCTATAATTGAATCCACATCTAATTTAGCAACCGACGACTTAGTCCAAAGTCTGTCATTGTCAGAATTCACATATAGTGATTACTGCCAACCTACTGTCCGGAAGCCTGGTCCCAAAACCATGTTTTGAACTTCTTCCTAAAAGAAAGGAGGGATGGAGCCGACCTAATTTTGCTAGGGAGAGCAGTCCACAGGCAGGGGGCCACCACCAAGAAGGCTCTGTCCCTTGTCCCCACCAAGCGCACTTGCAAAGATGGCTGGATCGAGAACAGGGCCTCCCCAGATAATCTTAGATTTCAAGGTGGGACGTTGAGAGAGATGTGTTTTAGATCTCTAATACATTACTGCATTACACCTTTTTCTGCTTTAAGAACAAGTTTAATTAATGTTGGCTTTCAGGTTTCCCATAGTTTCCTTTCCATTCGCAATCTTATGGCCGTATCTCGTTGTCTCATAGCACCTCAAGTCTGAGCAATTTGGAACAAGCTTTCATGAATTCCAGCCCTCTTCATCAGATACCCACAACTGTTTATGTACAAAACTTCGGCACAAGAAAATTAATCTTTTAGATGATACATGATTCTTGGTTGCTGTGATTATTAACTACTAAATTATGAATACGAAAACGATTATATTAGCCTTTTATGAAGCATCGTGCACTGAATATTTAAAGCAGTTGCAGAATAAGAAACACATTCAGCTTGTTAAAGTAGTCACAAAATCTCTTTCTCCTTTCTCCTATTGCTACCAGTATTAAAAAAAACTCTTCTAAAATCAGGGCAGCAAAGTATTTATTTATTTATTTACAACATTTATATGCCACCCTTCTCACCCTGAAGGGGACTCAGAGTGGCTTACAAGATATATATACATACAATATATTACGTTATTAGCATAGTATAATGTCAATATTAAATATTACTTTATTGTACTATAACATTATATTGTAATATTATTAGTAATATTACATGCAATATAAATATATAATTATAATATCATTATTATTAGTAGTATTATATTGCGTTACATTATAATATTATAAATATTACATGTATATACAATATATTACATTACATTATATTATTAGCATAGCACCGGAGACAAGGTGGAACTGTCCACTGCCCCCCCCCCAATTTATTTATTTATTTATTTATTTATTTATTTATTTACATTTTATATTCCGCCCTTCTCACCCCGCAGGGGACTCAGGGCAGATTACAATGTACACATATATGGCAAACATTCAATGCCATAGACACACAACATATATAGACAGACACTTAGAGGCGATTAACTTTCCAGCTTCTGGCCACCAGGGGAGCTGTCACTTCCTTGCATACTTGCATACTTCCTGGAGATTTTTTATGGCCTCGTAAATCAGTTAATTTAGCCTCCCCACAAAGTGGTACCTAATTTTCCTACTTGACAGATGCAACTGTCTTTCTGGTTGCAAAGGTTGACAACAATTTTGGTCGGGAACTCACTCCGACCCGGGCTGGCTTCGAACTCCATGACCTTTCGGTCAGTGGTGGCCAGTTGCGCCACAGTTCGATTAGACTGTACAGGGAAGATCCTGTTCCCCTTTATATGAGCCATATGAGCTTTAATCAGGGCCAGCTAACACCTCCCAACAAAGGATTCCACCATGCAGGAATCAGCCAGGCTTTGAAGCTGCAAGGCCATTTAATGCTAATCAAATTGCAACATTCACACCTGCCTCAAAGAGACACGGGTTTTTTTTTTCTCCCACCTTGGACATTCCACAGATATATAAACCTCACTTGCCTAGTTTCCAGCAGACTCACAACCTCTGAGGATGGCTGCCATAGATGTGGTCAAAATGTCAGGAGATAATGCGTCTGGAACATGGCCATACAGCCCGGAAGTATGCCAGTTAAAAGAACAATATCCAATTTGGTTTTGCTTTGCATTGAATTTATTTATTTGCTTTATTTGTATACCGCATTTTTCAGCCTATACAGGCGACTCAATGCGGTTCGTTTGTAGTTCTAAGTTTCAGGGACTCTGCAGATAGGTGGCTTCTTTTGGGTGCAGTCATAGGGCAAGCCACCTGTCAATTATCATTGGGTTCCCTAGTTCCGCCCCCCCCCCTTTTTTTGGGCTTTGGAGGGAAGGGAGCCATTTTTCAGTTAGTCTCAGCCAGGTTAGCCAATGTATAGGATGTGTGTAACTTCCCCTGTACAAAGGCTTCAACCTTTAAGGATCTCCAGGGAAAGAACGCCAGGGAAGCATTCCCACAGCTTTAAGCAATCCAGGGGAGAACAGCTTTAAGAACTCCAGGAAAACAGCCTTAAAGACTAAAGAACTCCAGCTGGAAAACATTTCGGCCTGGTAGCGGAGCACGCATCAGCAAGGGTTGGATTTTAGTCAGCCTGGGAGAAGTTAAAAAGGGGAATTTTCCTTTAAAGAAAACGTTATTGAAGATAGTGCCTGTCCCCTGTGGACAAGATTGAGAGAACCAATACTTTACCAAGAAAGCCTTGTAGTTCCTGTTTGATTTCATTAATAAAAGTCTTTGTTGTATTTCTCAAGCCATCTGAAGATTCTTTTGTAGAGGAAGCCCTTGAGAACTTTTCCTTGGGCACCCTGGCTTCCCGCTGGGCAAAGGTTACACATCCTATTTTAAAGCCAACCAGATACAGGCCCAGCGGCGACAGTACATGGGCATACAGCCCGGAAAACTCACAGCCAGTGATTCCGGCCATGAAAGCCTTTGACATCATGAAGTTAGTGATGCTTCCTCTTTATTATTTTTCAAAGCCTAACTTTTGAATGTCTTCTTTTTTATGTTTCTAGTTCCTAGTGCTGCACCCCAGAATTTAACCCTGGAAGTGCAAAACTCTAAGGTAAGATGCTGCAAATGTATAACTGTAGACATACAAGAATGTTAAAAGTAACTGTCCTCTGTCAAAATCAGAATGACACTTGTTTTTGTTGTTTTGTGTAGATTTGCTGATGTTTTGCTTGCTACCTTTTTGCTAATTTTGGATAGAATTTGTTATGTTTCAGACTGGAGGAGGTCTTGACTGGTGCCTTGTTTTCTAGCCTGTGCAATTGCCTAAACTGTTATTTGCCACAAGATCATTTGGAATTGGAAGTGCTAATGTTTCTGAATGTCATGCAAGAATTATTTAGTATGGAAGTGGAATAACATTTAGATTTCTCCTGTAATAGCACTTGCCAGTGTCCATGGTTTACTGTGCAGTTTCATTGATGTGCTTGTATAAAAATTAATATACTGTTCTCTGCTATCTAAACTGCAGAGCTTCTTCAATATATATCATTGTAATGCCTGAAATGCTGTGCAAGTTTACCCACAATATTTTAGATTACGTGCAAATTATTTCTTGAGCCTGCGTAATGGAGATTGATGAAGCATGGGAATTAGCATGGTTTAATAGGAAGAACATGATTTATAATGTAATTTAACTTCCCACAGAGCATTCTGATGCATTGGCAGCCCCCGCCTGCAGGAACGCACAACGGGCAAATTACGGGATATAAAATCCGCTATCGAAAAGTGACTCGCAAAAGTGATGTGACAGAGAGCATTGTGGGGACACAACTTTCCCAGCTAATTGAAGGTGAGCGGGTTGGAGTCTTCTGTCTGAAGGCAGTATGGTCTAATTAGAGGTTCTTTTCCCTGGTAGTCATTAGTATTTAGTATGCATGCCCTACAATACGGATGAAAAAAGAGAACTGCTGGTAAGGTGCACTGAATTGTAATCTTTTCAGCCCAACTATTATATCAATCATTTTTCAGAGCTGGGATAAAAATATGTGATATGGTTAAGTGAAAAAATCTTAACATCCTGTAGAGCAGTGTTTCTCAATCTGGGGGTCGGTACCCCTGGGGTCGTGAGGGGGTGTCAGAGGGGCCACCAAAGACCATTAGAAAACATAGTATTTTCTGTTGGTCATATGGGTTCGGTGTGGGAAGTTTGGCCCAACTCTCATTGGTGGGGTTCAGAATGCTCTTTGATTGTAGGTGAACTATAAATCCCAGCAGCTAGCAACTCCCAAATGTCAAGGTCTATTTTCCCCAAATTCCACCAGTGTTCACATTTGGGCATATTGATTATCCATGCCAAGTTTGGTCCAGATCCATCATTGTTTGATTCCACAGTGCTCTCTGGATGTAGGTGAACTACAATTCCAAAACTCAATGCCCATCAAAGCCTTCCAGCATTTTCTGTGTCATGGGAGTTCTGTGTGCCAAGTTTGGTTCAATTCCATCATTGGTGGAGTTCAGAATGCTCTTTGATTGTAGGTGAACTATAAATCCCAGCAACTACAACTCCCAAATATCAAGGTCTATTTTTCCCCAAACTCCACCAGTGTTCACATTTGGGCATATTGAATATTCGTGCCAAGTTTGATCCAGATCCATCATTGTTTGAGTGCACAGTGCAACTACAACTCCCAAATGTCTAAACTAATCCCCCTGCAACCCCACCAGTATTAAAATTTGGGTGTATTGGGTGTCTGTGCCAAATTTGGTCCAGTGAATGAAAATATATCCTCATATCAGATATTTATTTACATGATGATTCATAACAGTAGCAAAATCACAGTTATTTATTTATTTAAAACATTTATATTCCGCCCTTCTCATCCTGAAGGGGACTCAGGGCGGAGCACAGCATATATACGGCAAACATTCAATGCCGGGACACAAATTCATATACACATACATAAACATTAAATACCTCAATATTAAAATACACCATTTAAAACCATCCTAGTCATCCACGTCAAATCTATTTGGCCTGGTAATCTTTTGTATTGCTGCTTTATTGCCCTGTCCCGAAAGCTTGGTCCCACAGCCAAGTTTTTACCATCCTTCTAAAGGACAGGAGAGAGGGGGCCGACGTGATCTCACCAGGAAGGGAGTTCCATAGCCGGGGAGCAATCACCAAGAAGGCCCTGCCTCTCGTCCCCAAAAATTGTGCCTGTGGCAATGGTGGGACCGAAAGCAGGGCCTCCCCGGAGGATCTTAATCTCATACGGGGAGATGTGTTCGGACAGGTAATTTATGAAGTAGCAATGAAAATAATCTTATGGTTGGGAGTCGCCACAACATGAGGAACTGTATTAAGGGGTCATGGCATTAGAAAGGTTGAGAACCACTGCATTAGAGTCCAGCTTATCCAACCTTTGCTCATCCAACATTCTGTATTATCCAAGGCAGTCTGCCTCCCGCCCGGATCCACAACTGTTTCAATACATCGCAATGTTTTGATCTTGGAGGGTGTTTGGGGGTTCAGGGTGGGTTGGGCTATTTTAGTTTGGGTCTGGGTTCTGGATCCATGTAGGTTGAGCAAGGCCTGTGGATTAGAAAGCACAAGGCTTTGGGTTTATGTGTAGTCCGACTATGTTAAGCCAATCAATAAGATCTTGCACTATGGGACTTTTACCAACATGGATAGAGACACGTTACCATCATGAGAAAAAACACCCCCCCCCCCCAATCTGCCTCCCCAAGGACCTCATGCCACAGTTTATACCTCCCATGAAGACCTGGGTTGCATTCCTGTGCCGGTCCTATTCAGGATCTTGATTAATGACTTAGATGAAAGGTTAGAAGGCACGCTCATCAAGTTTGCAGATGACACCAAATTGGGAGGGAGAGCCAATACTTCAGAAGACAGGAGCAGAATTCAAAACAGTTTTTCATCCAAATTACATTCTAGAAAAAACATTTATATATAAAATATTAGAGTTTTTCTCCTTACAAGTGATTAACTGCAGAGATGGAGTTATTGGCGTTTTAATTGGAAACAGTACCTCCCTAGTCATTGGTGAGAAGTGTTATTTTTAAAATCTATCTTTATTTCAGGTCTGGAGCGAGGTACGGAGTATAGTTTTCGCGTCGCTGCCTTAACGGTCAATGGCACAGGAACATCTACTGATTGGATATCAGCAGAAACTTTTGAAAGTGACCTTGATGGTATGGGAACTCCACAAATATATGTGCATTGCGGACCTGGAGACATAGAGAGAAAATAGCAGTTTCTTAGAACCCTTTTGTCAAAAGATGAAAAATTGTTTTAGGCATATATGAATCAGGATGTTTCCTTGTAATTGAGGAAGAGATATTGCAACCTGCTTCCACTTGGTTATCTAATTGCAGCAGAATGTAAGTGAGAATGAATGCCAAGTAGATACTTGAACATAAGTTACTATTCACACTGCTTTCAGTGAGACAGCAGGATCAGGTGAAAGTCACCCTACATATATCACTGGAGAGTAATGTAACAGCCAAGGAGCTGTTACAGCAACGCAATCACTAAGGGGTTTACTAACATCCTCAGGTAGCTGGATCTATGTCTGTGATGGTGAACCTATGACACGTGTGTCAGCACTGACACGCATGGCTATTTTTGATGACACGCAGACACATGTGGCCACATACAGAGAAATACACCTTATAAGAGCCAATCTATTTCCATCTTTAAATTTGTAAAAGGCTCTACAAATTTAACATCTGCATGTTTGAGCATTGTTCACTCCATAACTCAGCATGGATTATACATTTTTCTTATTTAAACTCCAAATATTGCAAAATTATGGTTTTTTTCTCAAAGTGACACTCCACCCAAGTTATGCTCAGGTTTTTGGCAAATTTTGACACACCAAGCTCAAAAGGTTGCCCGTCACTGATCTATGTGGTTGCTTTATATCATCATAATGTACACATTCACTACAGTATTGTTATTGAATGTGATCTATTCGTGTTTAAACAGCATCTTACTAAAGGTGGCTCTAAGGCAGTGGTTCTCAACCTGGGCCCCCCAGATGTTTTTGGCCTACAACTCCCAGAAATCCTAACAGCTGGTAAACTGGCTGAGATTTCCGGGAGTTGTAGGCCTAAAACATCTGGGGACCCCAGGTTGAGAACCACTGCTCTAAGGGGCTTCTTCCCACCTTTCCAAACATTCAGGTTTGCCTTGAAAAGACTGAAATGTCAACATTCAGGGCAGCTTTTGCTCGCACTAGTAATAAGTTTTCTCTGTGAGCGTATCTAAATAATAGAACCAATACAGCAATGCAACAACTTAACAGTAAGATGCTACAAATTGTATGGACCACATTTTTTGGACTGAGTTGGAGCAGTCCAAAGCAGTTAAACTTGGTGAACTTTTTAAAATGTATATTTGTTATCATTTCATGTAATTGTGTATTTTATTGGCGTTTTTATATTGTCGGAAGCCGCCCTGAGTCCCTCTTCGGAGGTCGAGAATAGGACGGGGTGCAAATGTTCCAATAAATAAATAAATAAATAAATAAATAAATAAATGTCATATTTCTTAAATCAGATTATTTAATTAACTTCTTCTATCTCTCCTTCTAATAGAATCAATAGTTCCAGAAGTTCCAAGTTCCCTCCATGTCCGGCCACTCGTTACAAGTATTGTTGTGAGCTGGACTCCACCGGAAAACCAAAATATTGTGGTCAGAGGGTATGCAATTGGGTATGGTGTAGGCAGCCCTCATGCCCAGACCATCAAGGTGGACTACAAGCAGCGATATTACACCATAGAGAACTTGGGTAAGGAACAAAACTGTAATAGTTATGGCTACCCATGGGTAATTTTCTAAGAACAGTATAGAACCAATATCGACTTTTATGTGTTAGGCTTTGAGTCTTTTTCGGGTGAGATAAAGCCTGGCCTTAGTGGTGTATACATTGGCTATTGCAGCACACTGTATGTAGATCTGCCCTTGGAAGTGTGTCCGGAAATTACAGTTCAGAGAGCAGTGGCCAGGCTTCTGATAGGTTCTAGCTTCAGGGAGCTTACTACACTTATTCTGAAGCAGCTCCATTGGTTGTTGGTCCCGTTCCGGGCTCAATTCAAGATGCTTGTCATCATCTATATGGCCTTGGTTCAGCCTATCTGAATTACCGTATCCCCCAATACATCCCAGGGCATGAATTCAGATCAAGCGGGGAAACCCGGATCCATATGCGAGCCCCCACCAGTGTGCGTCTCCAGATAACCAGAGAAGGCTCCTCTCAGGTGCAGTCCCAGCCCTCTGGAGCTCCCTCCCTGAAGAACTAAGGGCTGCTCAATCTTTGCTTAGCTTTAGGAAGGGGGGGTGGGTCAAGACTTTCTTATTTAACAAGGCCTTTAATTGAGCCATGGCATGAGTGAGGGGATTTTTTTGCCTGGAATGGAGGAGGGATAAATGGGGGAGGAGGTTATGGTTTTATTGAAATGTGAGATTTTCTCGATTGTTGTTTATCATGGTTTTATCTATTTTGTTCTCCTGGTGGAAGGACTTTAATGTTTGTATCCTGTTTATAAGCAGCCTTGGGTCTGCGCAGTGGAGAAAGGCAGTATAGAAATAGCCTAAATAAATATAATAATAGTAATAATAATAATAATAATAATAATAATGAATTAATAAGGTGATTCAAAAGTGGCCGCCACACTTGTTGACTTGGAGAACATTGTGACAACCTAAAATGATGTTCCCTGGGCCATTTTTAAATTTTGTTGTTGTTGTTGTTGTCACCAATATTGTTATTGTCATCGTCATCTATATAGTTCCATTACCACACATGGCAATTTACAAGTAAAAGAATGAAAAAGTTCCCTGTCGTATACCATATATACTTGAGAATAAGCTGGCCCAAATATAAGCCGAGGCACCTAATTTTACCCCCCAAAAATCTCTGGGAAAAGACTTGAGTATAAACTGGGGGTGGGAAATGCAGGAGCTATGGGTCAATTACAAAATAAGAATATGCCAATAAAATTACATTAATTGATGCATCAGTAGGTTAAATGTGTTTGAATATTTACATAAAACTGCAATTTAAGATAAGACTGCCCAACTCTGGTTAAACCATTATTCTAATCTACTACAATGTCAATGTGCTTACGTATCCTTCCAATAATAATGGAGCATAATAATAATAATAATAATAATACAGCCAACATAGTGATCTTATTTGCTGTGTACTAATCTTGTTATGTTTCAAATAATAATAGAGTAAAATGATGAAAATTTAATAATAATAATAATAATAATAATAGAGTAAAATAATAAATGTAGTAATAACAATACAGTAAAATAATAAATGTAACAATAATAGAGTAAAATGATAAATGTAATAACAATAACAACATCATCAGAGTAAAATAATAAATAACGTTGACTCGAGTATAAGCCGAGGGGGATTTTTTCAGCCTTAAAAAGGGCTGAAAAACTAGGCTTATACTCGAGTATATACAGTAATCTTAGTCTTACCATCTAATTCATACATGACACAAAAAGAAATGTGGTTGGCAGTATGAAAAGGCAGTGAGTGGCAGTTGGGGTGGATGGAGGGCCTTTCATCTGTTCTTCAGATAGTAATCTTGGTTAATTCTAGGCTTAAAATTAATTTGACAAAAAACTATTCAACTAAGCAAAATAGGTCTATTATCTAGGAATTCTTAGAATAAATGTGTAATGACAAATTCAACCATTCTTTTTCTTTAGATCCCAGTTCCCATTACGTCATAACTCTGAAAGCTTACAACAACGTTGGCGAAGGAATCCCACTCTATGAAAGTGCAGTGACCAGGGCATATACAGGTAAAATATGTCTGTTTTGTTATAGTTTAAAATGTTGAGGCAGGCATCTTTAAAATCATACTATTTATAGTGTGGTTAGCAGATTTTCGTTGTGCATATTACTTATTGAGACATTTGCTCCATGATCTTGAATTTACAGTTGCCGTGATGTTTCATGTTAAATTATTATTGAATTATGACTATGTTTTTTTGTATGGCTTACTATTTTATAGTGTTTTTCAATTGTGAAAACATCAGTATACATGTGTGTG